CCACAGGTCAGAGTAACTATGACATTTTGTCTCCGCATCGTGTTGTCTCAGCAACGGCGGAAGAATGCTTTTCATCATGACTCCCTGTCTTCTGGCCACATTGTGCGCATGTACAACATGTGCAACATGTCACTATCGCAACTTGGTCCATCCACGGGTCAGAGTAACTATGACATGTTGTCTCCTCATCGTGTTGCCTCAGCAACGGCGGAAGAATGCTTTTCATCATGACTCCCCGTCTTCTGGCCACATTGTAAGCATGTACAGCATGTGCAACATATCATTATCGCAACTTGGCCCATCCACAGGTCAGAGTAACTATGACATGTTGTCTCCTCAACGCGCTGCCTCAGCAACAGCGGAAGAATGCTTTCCATCATGACTCCTCGTCTTCTGGCCGGATGCCACGCGCGGCAAGCGTGTGCCAGAGTAGCGACATATCACAACTTGGCCCATCCACAGGTCACAATAACTATGACCTGTGGTCTTGTCATTGCGTTGTCTGGGAAACAGCGGAAGAATGTCTTTCTAATACGGCTGCATGTTTCTTCCGGACTCACACAGCATGAGTTTCAAGCTGGCAGGGTTCAACTTCCACTCAGAAACCATAGGACCCCAATGCCATGCTTGCTTGCGGTCCGCTGTTCGTGATGAAACAGCTAGGAACGCTGAATCCCCACAAGGCATGGCAATCTGCACTAGAAGCAACCTCATTTCGGCTCTCATACCATGAGGTTCTTGGTAGGGAAGTTTCTCCAAACCAGGGCATGCTTTGATACCACAAGATGTTGATGTCAGAACCCTTAGGGGGAGATCCCTCTCAGGAACCAAGAATCTTTCCTTGAAAGGTCACCGGGTCCAAGTATACGTATAACCGCATAATCCCTACAAGCGCTGTAATAATTCCAGATTCAACGTTCTTGAATCTGCAGGGTCCGCAATATCTGAACTCTGAGCATGGAAGCCCATCCCAATTTTCCAGAATTTGCTGGTCAAGCCGAGCTAGGAGCATGCAAGTCAGGTGACCCAACGCCTAGGCTGGCAGGGGACTGCTTAAGGTTTAATGTGGGGACGTATGGCGTAGTACAGAAATACATGAGGCACTGTAGGTTAGTGTAGGGTAGTAAAGGGAACTAAAGGTAGCATGGGGTAACATAGGACACTATGGGGAATATTGAAATGCTATACACTTCTCGCCTCTTGGGGCTCCGCAGGGTTCACGGCTGCAGCTTTCGAATTGCGGATTTGGGGTGTGGGATTTGAAGTTTAGACTTTGATTTGAGCCATTTAGGTCTGAGGAAGAGGCAGTGCCACATCGTGCTGTCATGAAGCAATCATCCTCCTTCTGTCCATTCCTTTCCCCTAGCCCACTTGGATCCCTACTTCCCGTGAAAGAAACCCTGAATACGGGAACACCCAAAAACCTCCAGCATCTAAGGAGGAAAATTCTAAAGCAGAAGGTGTGCAGGTACTGCCGGGATGTTGCTGGAAAGAAAGTGTGACCCTTGAAGATTTCCAAGCCATGACTGGAGTAACAAATGCTTCAAGCTGCCTACGTCCAAACCCCGGATCCGTAAACCCTAAACCCCAAAGTCCCTGAAGCATCCGAAACGGTGGCTGGGCTTCTGGCAGTGCGGAACAGAGCCCGAAGGCAGCTTGAGCCACGAACCTGAGAGTCCCAATAGCTCAATGAGGTTTACATATGGGTATATGGGTATAGGGATCTGTATATGGACAATGGAAAACAAAAGGGAAACTACTGTTTAGGGTTTAGGGATACGATCGTCAAATAATGGAGAATCAAATGGAAAACGAAATGGAAGCTGGGATTGTATGGTGGTTCTAGGGATTAGGGCTGCTTTATAGAGAGGCCTAAAGAGCTCTCAATGTCATTCTGAAGTCTATCTGAGGTGCCGTATAGTACCATAGTTCTACAAAGAATCTGGGACCGTAATAACGATAATCATGTAAGTTTCTACGGCAAGGGGTACTGGCCAGGGTTTGGGGCCAAGGGTTGTCGGAACAGTGGCCGAGGGAGAAGCTGACCCTAACACTGATTATTTGGGCCTTTGTTCTGCAACTAAATTCCGTGAGCAGTTGGTCGGTCTCATCAGAGCCCTAAAACGGCCGAAACTGGGGGTCCCTAGTAAGTTCTGGTTATCCATGTTCATAGGCCCAAGTACAGACCCAGCGGGTGCCCCAAAGTCGCCATCTGCCACGACCCCACCCACCTCAGGGCCCGTCTCGGGCCCAGCGTGATGCAACATGCTCTGCCTTTGCCTTACCTTTGGTTGGCTAGGAATGAAGGAATGGATCCTTATAGCCCATGAGATTCTTTTACATTCCTTCATTTCCAGCTAACCAAAGGTAATTTGCAATGATCATCCAGTGCCACTCTGGCAGCTCAATGCCAGAAATTCAGCAGATTTAGTAGCTACAGAAGGGGACCTCCATATACTGTAATTGCTACTTGTCATAGGGACCCCGAGAAAGACCCCTAATTTGGGAAACTCTGATGAATGCATCTCTTGCATCTCTTGGAACCGGCGTGCAGCCCAAGAAAAAGAGGTTGAGCAGTGTATCGTCATAGGCTTCACATGAGCCATAATCTA